GGTGGGATTTGCATGAAGGCGGCACCATGCCGGGCACATTACGTCGTGGGAAAACATTACTTATGTATTTATTCATTTTTACTACAAGTCGGCACCTACTGACTAGATGCTTTATTATTGGTTTCTCTTGTCTTTCTCATCTAACATAGATATCTGCTTGCCAGGGCTGCAACTGTATCCTCATGTATCAAATATTTTGGTGGGTAATCCCCGCTTGTAACTTCAAACTTATTATTTTTACGTTAAAAATGCTTACGTCTTCATATTCCAACCTATCTTGCTACAAGGAATTTTTTAGAGTTAATGTCGGTGTTTTTACATACCTGCTGCCCCAGACTCGATAACCGCGAGAAAATAGTTAATAGTTTTTCCAGTTTTGCACGGATGTACACCACATTTGAGATAAATTATGTTTGAACACCCGGACTCCACAATCTGTCCTCAAATTTGAACTGGTAAGGCGAGGCCGCTGGATCAGCCATGTTTTGGAGCAACCTAGATAAGGCATATTGCGTTCGAAAACACGCTGAATCCAAGTCCGAAACGAAGATTCAAGCTTGTTATTGCGGGAGTAGGAGTTGATTATATAGAGAACTAGTGCACCTTCTGAAAGAAGAGCAATTTCGGAGTGGTACGAAAGTACAATGTGAGAGAATGTCTGTCAAAAAGACAGTAAGAAAGAGAAGCATTAACAAAACAGTGCAAAATGTGGAATCAATTCCCACGTCGGACGCAGCAACACCAAAGAGTGTTCGAGGACGTAGCAATGAACTAGGCTGTTCAAAGTCCCCCACTTACATAATCTTAAAGAGGGTGGTTGGAGGGTTTTTTGGTTTTTTTAATTAGAGGTTTTACGGCACTCGCAACTGCATAAGGTCATATGAGCGCCAAGGGGTGGATGTCAACAGAGAAGTCCTTACAGGGAATCACACTTACTCTGCTCACCTCTCTAGCTTCAACAGCACAAAGTCTGCGTCGACTATCAAGGCACCCTGGAAATAGCGGGTCACAAGAGCGGGGCAAAAATACAAAAGAAGTAGAGGAAATGACGATAGTAAGGATTAGGAAAGAAAAAGCAGCAGTTCCATGTTGTAGTTCAAGCACAGTTATGAGCATGACGTTGTTCGATCAGCCCATTTATAATTCTACTGTGCATTAAAACGAGAAATGTCCCCCCTTTGGGAATGGCCTAAAGACACTTCGGGGAGGGGGGCGGGGTGGAGGGTGGTCTGGTGTGGTTTGCTCCTTCTTCTCTATCAAACGTCTATCGCCCTTATCGCTCCTCCTTCTTTTTGAGGTTTGTTACTCTCTTGTAACACACCTAATCTTCAGCACTTATTGTGACTTATATGACCTTATTGTGTTGCAAGTGCCGTAAAACTCTTACAAAAACAAATAAAGAATCTTAAAGAACGATACAAAAATAAAACAATTTCGTCCCCAAAAGAATTAACCACAGACGATTCTTTGGAGAGAAAAAAAAACAGTGAGAGCGTGGTTTTTTTTAAAAGACAAGTGAGACAGAGAGAATTTTCAACGGTCTGTTTGGTTTAGCGACGAAGCTCATTTTTACATAACAAGGAGAATCATTACCATGAATTGTGTGAGCCGGACAACAGAAATACAAGGTGTGAATGAGTAGGAACACAGACATTGTAAAAGCTACCACACAATGCATTTTTTAAGTTCGCCCAAAAAAAAAACAGCGTTCTGGAACCTGGCCATCAATAATCTATTTATAGAAGCCTCTATAAGTAGGTTAATGCTGGTTAGTTACCCCACCATCAGTAATCTATTTCCAGCAGATGCCTCTATAAATAAATTATTGAAGGTCAGTTGCCACGCTGAAGCAGCCTCACAAAGCTGCACTTTTATTCAGAACACGGAAGTGTATTACGCCTTATGGAGCCAATGTGAGGCACCCGCTGTAAAGCTGACAGTTCTAATGCGGCTTCCCTTTTCATGTAATAAATTCTGCAACTATATCCGGATTGTTCCTTTATGTTTCTAACAAAGGACGTGGGCGGTTGGGGGGCGCCACTG